GTTCGAAATGTTTGGAGCCCCGAAGAGCGTGCTCTTCGCCAGGGCCACCGCCTCCTTTGTTGTTGTTGTTGTTGTTGTTGTTGTTATAGTTGTTTTGTTCTTATTGTTGTTATAGTTCTAGACTTGATATAACTGTTAGTGTTGTTCTGTTGCTGTTATTGTTGTTATGGTTGTTGTTGTTGTTGTTATTGTTGTTGCTTTATGTTTATTATCGTTAATGCTGTTGTTGTTGTTGTTGTTGTTGCTATCGTTGTTGCTGTTGTTGTTGTTGTTGTTGTTGTGATTTGTGTTGTTAATAAGTTGTTGTTGTTGTTGTTGTTGTTGTTGTTGTTGTTGCTGTTGTTGTTCTTGTTCTTGTTGTTGATCATGATCATGATGATCATAACAAACAGTTGTTCTTAGGGTCTTGTTGATCTATATTATTTCAAAGGCTACAGACATCGGATAGCTTGCCATGTAGGAGAGGTGCCTATTAATTGTGTATCCCATGGACAGGTAGAAAAACAAATGTATCCCCCACCCCCCCCCCCCCCCCACCTTCTTTTATTACTACCCCTCTTTACCCTTACCCGATACCCTAGAGTAGGAGTATAATGGATACTCACTTGAAAAATTCGAGCCTCCCTCCTGCCTCAGCAATCTTCCACACCTTTGCCGGCCCACCCACGTCTATGGTTGCCTGAAGAGTGGGGAAAAGAAGTATGGAACATGGAAAGAACATTAATTATCATTCACCCACGTCGATGGTCGCCTGAAGAGTTGTGAAAAAAGTAAGGAACGTGGAAAAACCATCGAGTATTGTTCACATAATATATAATGTTTTAACAAATTTTAGTAAGTGCTTTACCACCCTCGCAACTGCATAAGGTCATAATATGAGCACGAGGGACACAATAAACATAATCATAATTTGGTAGGAAATTTCCTTCTCTTGTCGATTTTAGACCACGGGATCTTTAACGTTCGAAACTTGCACACGGGACCTCCTAGAGTTTTCGCCCTTGTCCGAAAAGGCTAGGTGTACATCATTCCTACCAGAAGATCAGGGGAGTGACTGAAAGACAGCAGTAAGAAAGAGCCAAGGAGTAGCAAAGACTGCAGAAAGAGTCAGGAGCCCAGAGGAAGGGACAAAGAAAATGACGGGGTGGGAGCAGAAAGTGGAGACAAAATTAGACTGCAGAACATTGTTGTAGATCAGGAAAGGATTTGAAAGGAATCAATTTTAGAGAAGAAAATTTTCCGTCGCTATCAAGATTCGAACCCACGACCTACTGAATTAGAGGCGAACACCTTAGCCTCTAAACTACGAGAGCCCCCTTTGTTTACAGAAGCACCAGTTAGCTTTATCAGTAAAAAAGTAAAGTTGTTCCCGCATCCGAGCCAGACATTGGGGATTGCCTTGTTAGTGAGACAACTTCCTGGGCCTTCGGCATACTGTGGTGGTAGGATGGCCAGTTCCTTTCCACGCCGCCTTTACTTCCTCAACTCGAAGTCTGTATGTATGTATGTAGTATAGGGTTTTACGGCGCTCGCAACTGCTAAGGTCATATGAGCGCGCGAAACACAAGTTGTTTACTTTCGCAAAAGTTCACTCCACGATTGGTTAACTAATTGACTTTAAAATGCTAAAATGTTAAAATATTAAAATTCAGTGTAAATATATCGATTTAAAACAACTCTTATAGGTAACAATTAACATTTTAAATAGTACGTTTTCACTTTTCATTTTACAATTTGCCATAAAGGCTGTCGAAGTCAGGTACCCATTACTGCTGGGTGGGCAGGAGGGAGCTTTATAAGTATGTAACTGTTATCTCAGCCTGAGGAAATTTAATTACTCTTCATTAAATTAAGAGTGCGTCACCTATTTCCTCCTCGCTGTCCTCCAGCTTGCAAAGTAAAACCAAACCGCGCTATGAGCTAACGTGAATATAACCCAACTTGTGTCTCTGCATGTTCATGATATTTTAACTTATTGTTTATGTTTACCAAGCTGAACGTCAAATCATGCCAGTGTTGGTGATATGATATAGTGATAAGGCTCGCTGTGATAAAATGATTGATATGTCGCAAAGTGTTTAATAATAGGAAATGTAGAGCAGAGAGATAGCATATGCTTACGTAACGCTAAAAACTTTGCTTTGAATTTGAAAAACAAAAATTTAACCACAATCAACAGTGTACGTGAAAACGTGATCTTCATTATAATAATTTATATTTTCTAATGATCTTGTACGTAGCAAGTTATAACAATAATCATTTTTTTAAAATTGGTTTCTTTGAAAGATAGATAGATAGATAGATAGATAGATAGATAGATAGATAGATAGATAGATAGA